AAATATATAATTTTCTTGCTACTCTTTTGAAGGAGAAAACTTAAGATTAGAGGGTCTCCTGCATTTCCTCTTTCATCCAGGAAACTGATATTCTGACTAACCTATTCCCATCCTGTCCTCTGGAGCCAGAAATGATCTTCCAGAGGAGAATGCATCGCAGCTGCAGTCTAACCAAATGCCTTGATCCCACACAGCTGCCTCTTTCTCCCTCCTGGGACTAAGAAGGAAACCAGGGAAATGTCAGTTGTCGGTCAGGTCAAGGAGACAGATGCTTCCTTTGGTCTTCTCTGACCCCTCTCTTCCTCCTTCTCACCTTTAGCCCCTTGAGTCAGGGCTTTGGTTATCTGGATCACACCTGAGCATTCCTCTTGCTGCATCTGAGATCTGTCATACTCTATCCCTACCCAAAACTATTTTAGGCAACCCATGGGCATGCTCTGTGCACAGCCTCCTTCTTGCACCACATCTTAGAGATACCCTTTTGATGCATCTGAAACTCTGAATGAGAGTCACCCCACATCCCTGCTGCTGTAAAGCTAGATATAAACAATGAAAGCAACTAAGCTTCCAGCATTCTCTGCCCCTCTACAAATAGTCCTAATTTATTCTTCTAGGATGATTTCATGGAAGAAGTCTAATGGTTCATTTACTTCATGCATGAGATTTGCTTCTAGAAAACCAGTTTCCCCAAACAAGAGACAAGCTCTGGCATCTATGTCCCAAGTGGTGACCACTAACAAAATTTCTACCTATTGAGGGAAAATGATTAAAAAGAAGAAAACTAACTTTATGCAATTTAAAGGGTTGCACATTTTCCTGAGATTTTTAAAAAGTAAAACATCCTTTGCATTATGAGGTACATTTTAGGGACCATTAGTTATTTACAACGCTTTTGCTTGGCAAAATAAAATGTTTCATCTTCTGGCATCATGTCTAGAGGGCTAACTATGCAGGCTATGAATCATCTGTGATTATTAAATAGCCAAAAGCTTTATTGTTCTCTCTACTCAACCAAACCAATTTTGTTCAAAGGAATAGTATTTGGAGAATACTATTTTGATAATTATACAATTTTCTAATTTTTATCTATTTTGTGATGTGGCCTTCTTTGGGGGGAGGGGAGAGAAGGTGCTATTTTGTATCCAGCTTGACAAGCCATATACTTAGTGTTTCTCAATTTCACATAAAAATAAAGAACATCATGAGAAATAACTTTGTGTTATTAGCTGACTTTGTCTGAAATGGTCAACTGAACATAACAGTTACTATGAAAAATGTTTTTATAAATATTTTCTATTCTTACCTAATAAGGTAAGAGATATTCCCATTTATCCAGTGAGGAAACAGGTTTTGAAAGTTTCAAAGTTACAGGTAATAAATGGTAACTCAGGACTTGAGTTCAGAGGTGTTGAACTGCATGACCCAAGATCTTTCCACTATTAAATATTTTTAAGGCTATTTCAATTCTTTTGAAAGTTGTTTATAAGAAATATATCAATAAATATTCCTTCAATTTGGAAGAATAGTTGAAAAACAATACTTATGCTTATTTCACCTGGCAGGGCTGATGTGCCTTTAATAAATGAGATGAAGGTCGGTACCAAACAATGCTTCTTGGTGACACTTGATCCACAGATGAATGGCTGAGCCAAAGAGTACATAAGTAAGGGAACTGTCTTCCTTTAAGATACTAAGTACATAAAACAAAGCATCCAATCACAGGATTAATATTAGGGCATTCAGACAAGAATGAGTAACACTGTGGGATTATTATTTTAAGGAAACCCATAGGGTTCTGAATTTGCTAATCCTACGTTGACTTTTATATTGTTATTTTTATAAATGCTATAATTATGAGTGGATTTTTTATGTCTTAAGAGGATAGATAAAGAAAGACAAGAAGATATGGGTCTCATAAAATTCTGGTTCAAATTACAAGTTAAATTACAAGATCAGCCAAATAATTTGGCCAATATCAATGGAGAATTCATTACTTTCTTAGACTGGCTAAAATATGTGTTTACTTTTTCAATCCCCCATGCTCTAGAAAAACATATTATAATGCTATTCTGATAAGTTGGAACTAGGGACTAAAACAGTCAATGGATCTTCTTGAACACATCAAGTTTCCCATGGACTGATTATTCAATTTTAATTTCACAGTTTTTATATCTTAGGTTTGAAAGAACTGTTTAAAATTTTGATGCTGTTTAACTTTGTCAGAAATACTTCTTACTGGCAAAAATAGTCAGACATTTGAATAAGACATGTTTGCTTATATTAAACATTATGTAGATAATAAGATGACAAAGCTCTATTGTCCTTCAACACTGAAGCTCCGCTCTGCTCATTAAAAGCTCTAGCAAGAATAATCCTTAAGAAAATATTAGTCCTTGGTATAAATAGGCATTCACATTTCTCTCCCCAAAGTGCATTGCATTTTTTCTTTGCTGTAATAATTCAAGCTTCATGTTCAGATTACTAGAGAACTTAAAACAAAAAATAAAATAAACTGCATTGCCTTTACTATGAATGAGGTTGCCCGTTTCCCCTTCTCTGCTTTTTCCTATGCTTCTTTCATCTTTTACCCCACATAATCATCATATAGAAAAAATGTATGGAGGCTCTACTATGGGTCAGGTACCTTACACAGATAATCGAATCTCTAAGACTGACTGTGATTTCTCTACAGATGAAAATGTCAAGGCTCTGAACAGCTTGCTGTGATCATAAAGGGAGCAGAGGCTATGCAGTAGTTGAAAATGAGAATACAGTGTTTTCTTTAAAGGCAGTGGATTGCTTTTCCTTTTAAAAAAAGTATTTTCTGTTTCAGAAATATCTGACTGATTTTTTGGACAATATATTTAAATATGCACATGTGAAAAAAAAAATAAAAGTAACTTGGTTGAGGCCATTGCTCATTGGAACTCAGTACTCCCCTTTAAACATGGTTCCCCAAAACGAATCATTATTACAATCTTAGCTACTACTTCTGTATACAAGATCAGTAAGCCCAAAGGAATGATGTACACTCTGGGCTCTTAGAGAAAAAGATAACTTGGAAAATGTTCTCATCTGAAAACAACACAAAATAAACAAAGCAAAACAATAACAAGGACAACCAAAAAACTGTATCATGAGACATCCACATCAGTGAACTTGATGTTCCCTAAGGCTACATTTTTCTGTTTAGTTTTGAGCAATAGGCTTGGGAGTTTTTTTGTGATAGACAATTAGAAAACTGTCCCAATGCTTTAATTAGAGTCAAGCTTTATGAGTTATTTATCATGAAAGCAAAGTAAAACCATACTTTTGGAAGAATAAAACTTCAGTGAAGTGACTGGACAAGGCTTCCTTAAAAATATCAACTCTTTATTGTTGATAATATGTGTAGTGGGGGGTAGTTATGGATCCTTTTAAACTTGTTCTCAGGCAAAGTGAGATTCAATTTGCATCACATTTCTTAGGAACTCGGCCATTTTTGCAATATTTGAAAAACTTTACCACTAGTATATCCATCATAGGGTGACTCCCTTCTTCAGATATTTTTAACACCATTATTTTCCTGTCTAAACCAGTAATGGAGGTAATCTCTAGATGCCATAAAAGTTTCTGTAGAATTTGCTAGTAATATAATTCCCCTTGTCTCTAATACACAATTCAAAAAAGGAATAACCACCACCAGTAGAATATCAGACCCACAAGAAGTAGGACCATATTTGTCTTCCTCATCCCTTTCTCCCCAGGGCCCAGAACAGATCTGACCCGTTATGGGATCTCAATATATTTTCTGAGTTAATGAGTCAATTAATTAATCTAGTGGAAGTATCCTGGAGCCTTTATTTACACGTTTTATTTGGGTTTAAATGGCGGCACAGTACATGCCAGCATGAAAGAACCTATCTCAAAGTGTTTGTTTTTCAGTTGTCACTATTTAACATGTTTTACATTTTCCTGGGTTCCTATATGTAGTTTATTCCAATTCTAGGAGTTAGTAGCAAATTTTCCTGCAAAATACTCCTAGAAAGCATATTCTGAATAAACATAGGATTTCAAAAGTAAGTGCTCTACAAAGCTATGGGGTTTATTCTATAAGGAAATGCACCATGGCAGAATCATTCTGTGCGGATTTTTTTTTTTCTTTCCAGTAAGAAAAATGAACCAAAAAAAAAAAGAGGAATGTGAATCAGCTGCCATGTAAACTAAATTCATTCCCTTTTGGCCCATCTGCTGGGGCTTCGAACTTTCTGGAGATTTATCTTCTGAGTATATTGCTTTTGGAATTCCCAGGCCAAATTTTTCTTGAAAGCTAATAAATCAAACTGTATTTACAGTGTTAGGATAAAGATATATGCTTCACGATTATGTTGAATATCTATACCACAACTTCGTTATAAAGATTTCCTTTGAAACTTTCTAAAGAATATAAACAGCTAGATTACAAAACGCCAAAGGCAGAGGCAAAACTAAGACCCAGGGATTAAGGGAGTCTTTTGGTACTTGAAAGATAAATTTCTGTTCTAAAAGTTTACTTGTTTTGCTCTTGATAACGCTGCATACTTTACAATTTAGTAATGTTCAAACTTTTATCTGGGCTAAGCCAAGAGTGGAGAGATCACCCAGGTTTTCTTAATATCTAAGATTTCATGAGAGCAAATCATCAAATTAAAATAAGGTATCACCCTGGAATCATAGAACATATTATTTTGTTCAAAATTTTATTTTACAGAATGGGAGCCATGAAGCTCAGAAAGATGATTTTCTTTTTAAGTGACTCTTCCAAAATTGCAAAGTGATGGAGTCCTGACTTAGAATAAAGTCCCCTAACTTCAAAGCTGTTTCTTTCTCTCCTGCTCTGCTTCCCTTACTCCTCATTAGGTGGCACTGTCTCTCACATTTGGAATTGCAGAAATTAAAACTGAGAATGCTAAACTCCCACAGAAGCCATTCCCATGAATAAAGCAGACAAGGTAGGTAAAGAGAGCCTGCACCCCACTCACCCAAATCAGAACACTGGACAACTCGAAGATGGCATTGACAGCGGAAGGGGCACACTGGCACCTGAGGCTCTAATTCAGGAACTTCGTGAAAGCGGTCGTCCGGGCCTATCCCAGAAGCCTCATCTTCCAGCATAAAGTCAAATAAGCCTTTCTGCTGAAACGGTCCAGCCCAGGAAACTTGTGCGAGCAAGAGGAAGATGAAAGTCGCCTTCATGATTTATCTCATGTATTTTCACAACCAAGGAACCTAGGAAACAAATGAAAGGTTTAGAAGAGTAGCCTTGCCTAGTGTATGTGGTTACTCTTAAGTAACACCTGACAGTGGAATGAGCATAGAGAAAAGCATAAAAAGTAATATTTTGTTAGGAGCAGAGCGTTAGAAATATATTTGGAAGGTAACAAGGTACATTAGAGACTAACTCGCACAGCTATTTACTTATGAAGCAAAATTTGAATAGTATTTGAATCTGCTTGGTTTAATTTGGGTCTGAATTAAGACCATGGGTTATATAGTCAAGCCACCTGCAAAACTGTTATGATGATAAACCACTTTGGAATTTTCAATGCTCACTCAACACAAGCCATGCCACAGTTAAATAAAGTTTTGTCTGTACACATGAGACATCTCCAATTACTGCTTCAGAAATATCTCTGGAAGCCAATCTCATTTCTCCACCCCACTGTATTTATCTTGGTCCAGACCCTTCTCATCACTCCCTGAACAAGAGCTTCCAAATGGACTCAGCCTTGAATATTTCTTCTGCTCCAGGCCATCTTCCACTCTGCTGCCCAAGTCATCTTCTAAAAATTAAATTTCATTGTATTAATTTTCTACCGCAAACCCTTTGTTGACTTCTCACAGCTTGCCAATAAAGTCTACATCCCCTTTGTTGCATATAAGACCATACATAATTTGATACCAACTGATATTTCAAGCCATATTTCTCTCCATTTTCTCTCTACTCCCAGTCTCCACCTCAAACCTGACACTCAAAGCTAATCACCATTTAAAATACCTACCTTGTAAGAGTGTTGTAAAGACTAAATGAGATAATGGGTTTCCCTTGCGTATTCCCTGGCTCATTCAGGCAGGATGCTGCTTTCTCTTCTATGCTCCCAAAGCATGTTGCTTACCTCTTTTAAAGATCTTATCACATTATATTGTAATTTGTTTCACATGCTTGGCCTGCCCCCCCCCCACTAGAAGATGTACTCCTTCAGGGCGTGTCTTAATCTTTGTTGTGTACCAGGGCCTTGCACAATATTTTGCACATAAATGACTCAATTGACCGTCAATTTATTAACAATACACGTTATTCAATTTGTTCTAGGCAACCAACTAGTCTGATTTTTAAAAATATGACTATCTTTTTTCAATATCAAATTTCTAGCATAAGAAAGATATCAAATTGATAACCTCAACTTGGTATAAGCAAGATTCAGTTTTTAAAATAAATCTATTGGCTAGTTTCTCAAACTAATCATTTTTAATAAACTAATAAACATATATGGAAAATCCTATCTGATTTTTATATGACTTATATGTTATCTGATTTTACCAACAGGACTATTTTGTAAACAAATCGACAAACAGAAAGTATGATTTCGACAAATCCAGACAGTTTTTATCCATTCATTCAACAAGCCCTTATAGATATGTACATCTATGTTATTAAGTCGGTTGTTTAGTTGGCTGAAGTGAACTAAATGTATCTGAATAACAAAATCTTAATAAATCTGAATAACAAAAAGTAGTTGATCATGGGGGAACAGTCTGTTTTTGAGTTCTTGTTCCACTCTTGTTCTTCTCCACTGAAACTGCTCAAAGTATTCCCAGAACACATTGTAGATATTATCTTTAGTCTCATCATCTTTAATTGTACATTTATAAGGGTTCATATTAAAGTTGTACATTCATAATTAGAATTAGAGAATTATTTTCAGTCATTATCCAATTATAGCATATACAGAAAAGAAAAAGTCTTTGTATGCTCTAACCTTAATGTATCTTCTGGAAATGTTTGCCTAGATCTACTAGAGGGGAAACAAATGTTTAAAATTTCTTACAATTTTATTCTTAGTTTGTATTTATTACTGACGCACATCTCAGGCAGCACGTATGCAATACAGAATAGTGACTTTTCATTGATATAATACCACGAAGATTATTATTCACACTGCCCCTTTAAATTCAGTATCAGGTTTCCTTTAGAAACCCATTCCCACTCAGTTACTGCATTGCCTTTTAAAGGAGACCCTATTGTTTTGGCAGTGTTCCCTTGGACTGGATCTAAGGGAGTGGTTTTCTGTCTGTTTCACATTAAAATGCAATGTTTATGGTTTACCACAAATTTGCTAGCCTTGCATATTTAATGTCTTACAATTTTTGAGAAAAATGAAGCAAACTAATTGCAGATTTAATAAATAGCAACGAGAATTAATGCAGATGTCACTTTCTGATCTTTCTCCAGAGCAGAAAATGCCTGGTTCACAAATCCAAAAAAAGGAAATGCTAAACATTAGCTCAGAGGAATATTATCATTTACACTTGTTTACTCTTGTTAAAATGGTACAAATTCTCTACACAGTATTCTTTTTGGATGAAGCTGAACCCAGACAGCATTTAAGCTTCCATTACTTACCATTTTGTGTGTGTGTGTGTGCACGCGTGTGCATGCATTTTAACCCTGAATGTCCTGGGGAAGAATAATATGTGTCCAGGTACTTTATACAAAGTTCTCCATGAAATAACTTCTTTAAATTAGTGTCATAGTACTTAAAAACTCAGCATCTTAAAACAATTAATGTGGGCTGTTGATACTGATGATTTCTTTAATCATTTCCTTCCTTTCTTAATAAATCAGAAAAATAAACAAAAAAACCCCAGCAGTTGCCCATGTATGTAGACAGCAAGGAGACTATTCTTGAGATGATATGCTATTAAAATTTCATTTCAACTGTTTTAAGTATTCTTAGAATGTATGCCTCTTTTTAAAATGCTAATTGCTAAGAACGTCACTACTTTACTAAAGCTCATTGCCATAATTTATGTGTTCTATCAAAAATAATAATTTCTGGTTTCTTAAACTACTCCATTTCATTATACCATTCAGATCAACATTTGTATGATGTCATTTAAGCCTTTGGTGTGATTTTCAAAGTCAAAATTTAACCCTCACGAGATAAGTGAAGCTGTAAATGCAGAGCAAATTAAATCCCCCAGCACTAGGTGAATTAAAACCTCAATAATAATAGAAATAAGTTAAAAATAAACAGTAAAAGCGGTATCCATCCATAAATAAAGGCTACTATAGGAGGCATTTGGTTCTTTTTCTGGCCAAAATAGCAATTTGAAGAAAAAGCCACAGGTATTTACATCACTGGGAGTCCATTTAACCAGTGGTCATCATGTTACCCTGTTTTGAAATTAGAAAGAAAAATAACCCACACTTTCATTTTATAGTGAATGTATCTTATAGTAAAATTTTATTTGCAGCGAACATTCTGGCAGGGTCTCTTCTTTACATTTAAGAAATTATGTAGCTAACTGTGAGATTATCTTAGTTCAGTCCTTAATAATCAGCATAAATATATTCAGTGTTTATTTTCACCTCTCTGGTGATAATTTCTATTATTTTCCAGTATACATTAGACTTCTATAAGTTATCACTAGAGTTCACTTCTCTGAGGTTTTAAAGTTCTTAAAATATACAAGAATTCAGGAGGAGAATAAATCCTTAAATATATAATCCAACTACGAATAATACGCCAGTCTAGAATACTTTTCTATAAACATTTCCCAAAGAGCTAAACATTTAATTAGCACAAATAAAAAATATATCAATAAAGATAGTCATGGTGTTAGGTTATAGTTTCTTAAGAAACATCTTTGCAAGAACAGAGAAAGAACTAAAGAAATGCATTCAACCATTTTACCAAATATTTACTTTCTGTTTTCAAGCAATACTTGTTTAAAATGCTGCATAAAGGTTACTAAAAGTTTAGCACACATTGTTTGCTTTTTTCCTCTTACCAAATAATCCCTTTTTTCTCAACTTGATCAAAGTTTTATTAGTCTGTAGCAGAGTTCAGGACAATTATTGAAAACCATACCTTTTAATCCGGGGATCTGCCACAGGAGCCCTCAAAGCTGAGATGTAATTACACTAAATATTCAGCCCAGGCAAAAGAGTTTGCAGGTGTGGAAAGGAGGAGGGGGCAGGTGCTGCTCTGTGACTGTCACTAGGTTGAAAACCTCCTGCTTCTACTCCATAGCACAGTTAAAAAATAAGGTTTCCCTCAATGAACACAATCCAGCTGACACCCACATTAGATCATATGGTAATGATATGTCTCTTGTATTGTAGCCAGAAATTTTATCGGCCTTTTTTTCTCCCCATTTAAATGCTTTATTCCTTTTTCATCTGCTTAAGATTCTAAACTTCTTCTGTAGTATAGCAGTGGAGCAACTTGACTTGGAATTTGTTTTACCGTGTGGATTCATTTCCCTAAAATTGTAACTAAAGGGTTTATTTCCCCACCCCCAACCCTACTCCTTCATCCAGCCTTTCTAGTCTTGTTTATAAGTCACATTTATCATATTACCGAAATGACAGTTTTTCTTGCTTTCAGGATGTGTAAGTCCAGCAAATGGAATGAAATTATTTTAAGTGTGGTCTGTGAAAATAAATGAGTAGTCATTCGGATTCTTACTTGCCCTGGGCTGTTTGTGCAAGTTCAAGTACTACGCTGTGGAGGTTTTCTATGTATTTTGAACGTATTTCTAAAGTGTCCTGGAAGAAAGCCATGGTTTTATATGAAAAGCATGTCATTTATTACTTTCCTTACTCATAGTTTAAAACCTTTCTTCTTGTCTACCAGTTGTGTGTGTTTTTTTTAAATAAAACACATAGATATTAGAAGTTGATCACAATTTAATTTAGCCTGTATATGAAAAATTTTATTTTCATAGACTACACTTTTATATAATTCAGAACTTTGAAAATGGCAATAAAGTCTATGGCTCTTTCCAAATTCAGTAAATAGAAAGTGCAAATTCAAGGAAAGATATTTATTCAGCCAGTGGAAGCTTTTTTGAGTTTTTGTAATTCCCTTGCTGGATGCTGTCAGTTCTCTGTGTGTGTCTCTATGTTTTGACTTGTATCCTTATGTCCTGGCCCCTAGGCTGTTACCAGGTAGAAACTTGAAATCAACATCTGTGAAACATGAGAGGATAACCTCCCCATCCTCCACCCTCCCTCCCTCCCTCCTCTAGCTATCTAAGTGCACAATTCTACAGTAAATATACTTTTGCCTTGATGAAATGTGAAGAAATTAAAATTTTGAGTGTGCATCTAAAGGTGGGAGGAAGGGTACTATCACATGCTATTCTGTCTTATTTTCCAAGCCCAGTCTCCATAATTTTAACACCTTACCCCACTCCTTTTCTCCTTGGCATTTAATAAACCCATGCCCAGTTAGTCTGATGGTTTAGGGAAAGGCAAATATTTTCCCTGGACATTGGTGCAAAATCCATGCTCCCCTTACCTGGAATCAATTAACTTTTCCATTTGAACTCCTCTTGCATTTATCTCATTCTTATAGCATGCAATCACTTCTTCATATTATGGTGTTTTATGTACATCTCTTACCCCAAGGAATAAAGCACATCCTCTTCATATTTGTAAGAGTCCCCACACTCAGCACAAAGTATATAGTAAATTCTCAAGAAACACTTGATGAATGACTATTACATGAAGATAGATCATTAGCTATGGATCATACCATGATTATTGTTTTGCTCAGGTCTGTTTTGCTCCTTATCAAAGCCCAATCTACTATAGTGCTATAGTGTATATGATGAATAACAGTAGTAATTGTTACCAGAGAGAGAGAGAGAGAGAGAAAGAGGGAAGGGGGATTGGAAGAAGAAGGAGGAGGAGGAGGAGGAGGAGAAGGGGGGAGGAGAAGGAGAAGAAGGAGAAGAAGGAGGAAGAAGGAGAAGAAGGAGAAAAGAAGGAGAAGGAGAAGGAGGAGGAGAAGAAGAAGAAGAAGTAGGACAGGAGGAGAAGAAGACACATTATCTTGATATGTAGATCATCTTACTTTTATAAAGCAGAACCATTTTGGCTACGTTTCACATCCAGGTTCTTCCCTCTGATAGTAAGCTATATGAACTCAGTATTCTTATCCTCTCTGAGTCTCAGTTCCCATATCTGTAAAATACATGAAAAGTATTACCTAATACATAATGTTGAAATAAAGATGAAATGAGGCAAAAGGTATAATAAGGCATATAATTCAGAGCATGGCTGGGATAAATTAAGCTCACTGTAAATGTTAGTCTTTATTGTTTTCTGATGTATCATAGCAATCCTTTGAGTTGGGCAAGGGAAATCATTTTTACTCTTTCCAGTTTATAGATGAGAAAACTGAAGTCCAATGCTCTACCCAAGCTCACAGAGCTAGTAAGAAGCCCAACAGAAATGAATACCCAAACCTTCTCATACCTAATCTAGTTTACCATTACTATACTGCATTTTAAGAAAGATCAAACTCTTAAGTTATAGGAAATCAACAATAAAAATTCTTGGGTAACATGTCTTTGCAGACTAGTTTAAAAGCTGTGACCAAGTTTTACAATTCTTTTTAAACTTTATCTTTGTGCAGGAAAAAATATTTCTATCTTTTAAGTTTTAGTAAGAACCTCACCTCCAAAATCCCAAGGATTTTACTGAATATCATATTATTTAAAATTTGTACCTTTAATCAGATGTTGTTACATATGTTGTCATATCCACTTTTAGATGGAAGAAATTAAGTCACAACAAAGTCATATACAGCAAGTCACAAAGAAGCCAGAATCCTAGGTCACTTGTAATCAAATGGGAAATGAAACAGTTTTGAGGCTAGAAGCCATGCTTGTGCAAAGGAGGCTGAAATTTATCCTGGCTTGGAATGTTTGGGGGTAGGGTTCACTGAAATCTTGGCTGCTGTATAGATATTTGAAATATTCAAATACAGAGCAGATACCAAATCTGCTGTTAAAACCACTTAAACTGTGATTTCTACTGACAAGCCACTAGTTAACAGGGTGACTATATTCTGCATGTTATCAAAGTTCATTTCAAGGCTAGTCACTCTTTCTCACCGACATCAAATACAAGTGATTTAAATTGTACCTGCATACTAAGATGTAAAGAATGCCAGAGCTTAGGAAGGTCTCCTTCTGACACCCTTTTATTTTCAAAGAGGTCTGGAAGCAAGTGATTATCTTCACAAACCTGATGTGACTGTTTTATTCTCATATTGACTCTTCAAAGTAAGGTCAGCAGCTGGAATGGCTTGTTAGGCTCTTTCTTTTGCCACCCTAGACAGATTTTCTTCTTTAGCCAAGAAAGAAGGCTAGGGTGGAATTCAGGGTGGCCTAGAACGCAAGTTTGAAACAAAATTGGTAGAAAACGATTACCTTGGCTATCTTCTTTCTTCCCCATATGCCTCTACTCCCTCAACCTATCGCCACTGTGTTCAGTGTCCTTGTGCCTTGCATAAGTAACGTAACCTTCTGTTTTTCAGGCTTCTAATCTATAAATGTGTCTAAACATAGTACTACCTACATTATAGGTTTGTGGTAAGGTTTAGAAAAACATTAATACATAAAGCATCTAGAACTGCACCTGACACATCTCAAACAATATATACGTGTTTGTTGTTGCTTCTGCTGCTGCGACTCTTGTGGGCATGGTTGTCACAAACCTTTCCTTGGACACTCCAGTCCAGTAATCAGACCGCACCCCTGTCCTAGCCTAAGGTGTTGTCTACCTAGCAATGCAAAATATCACCTAAACTTTGATACAGTTGGAGAAACAGGGGCTTTGCAGTTAGGTAAGCTTGGGTTTAAACCTCTACTTTGTACTTGTAAAATAACTGTCTGGCTTTCTTCATGCATGACATTTTAGTGGGTTCCAAGCCCTGCTGAAATCCATTCATAGACTTTATAAGGATCCAGAGACTCCAGGTAAAGAATCTCTACTCTGAACAATGAAGGAGAAGTGGGAATAGAAACAAGGACAGGGTAAGTTATGAATTAAGATAAAGGTATGGAGATATGTGGCTGTCTTTCATGACAAGGAGGTATTCAGTTCCTTAATTCTCTGACTCTTGAACGTTCAGGAGCAGCTCTTTTGTCAAGTACAGTCAAGAGATTTATTATTCTTTTCACAGAATTGATCAGTAGGTTGTACTGGGACACCAAGCCAAGATTTATTGAATATCTAGTAACCTATCAAGCAATCAATCAATCAGCAAATATTGACTGATGAACCACTATGGAAGAAAATGTTAAAACTAGGCCCTGTGGAGGATACTAATAAACAGAAAATATAAAGTGAAGGGCACGACCTCAAAGGACTTACACTGCAGTAAGGAGATAGGGCATAAGCTATATATATATATATCTATATAAAATAACATTTTAGAGTAGTACCATAGAACTTATAATGTACTATACAATTATAACTCCTGGCCAAAGTAAAGTATGATGTAATTAAAAATAACTGTCTTAGCAAGTCAGAAGAGGAACAGGGGAGAGATCACCTTACATATAGGTGGTTAGCTAAGTGTTTATGCAAAACAAGGTACAGTTTGAGCTGAATCCTGAAGGATAAAAAGAGTGTGAAAGAAGAGGGACAGCTTTTTTAGGCTGGCAGAACAGCACTATCAAAACCTTGGCAATGAGAAAGCAAGAGATAATAAATAAATAAATTTGGCTTAAAAGGACACTTTTCAAAGAAGCTGTGAGCTCTTTTCTCATCCTTGAACATTCAACAACTACAGTGGTGTCTGACATGTGGATATCACACAATAAATAAATGTTCCATGTTTATGATAATAACTAGAGACAAGGAAAGAAATGAGGGTAGAGTATGACTGTGGAAGGACTTGAAAGTCTTCCATGGGGCACTTATTTACTCATTCATTTGTTCAGCAAATATTCATTTGATGATTAATATGTGCCAGTTCCCGTGCTAGCATCTGGATGTCATCAAAGGTACTTGAATGAGGTAATAACATGATACAATTTTATTTTAACAAATCAAATCTAGCAAGTATATGCAGGGTGGTGAAACTGGAATCAAGGAAATTAGGAGGCTATTGCTTTAGTCTTGAAGTATTAATACCTTAGTAACAAGAAGGTGATCATGGCCAAAAATTGGGCCACTGCTCAGGAAGCTGATGTGATATATTAAAGATAAATGTTTAGCGCACCTATTCTGTGCCAGGCACTGTGGTGTGTTCTTGAAATTCATTATCTCAATTAAGACTCATGTTAACCATATCAGTTATGCACTATCATAATTAATTTTCATAATCAATTTTAAAAGCCTGGAAATAAGGTTTGAAGAGGCTCTGTACCCCACCCACTGGTCTCTTTACCACTCCAACCAGCTGCTTTTGTCACGTAAGCAATGGCAGGA